AGACGGTGTTCTAGATTTGTCCTCCTGTATTAACGATGTTCTAGTTGTTCTCCTGAAGGTACCGCACACTAGGTTTTTTTTACTCATGTAGGTAATATGTTCTAGGAGTTCTTTTGAGCTGTTCTTCCGTAGTGGCGGTGTTCTAGGCGGTTTTACTTTATAGAGGAATGGTGGTGTAGCGTTCGTTCATCTAGGGAGAGATAGAAGACGACCCAGAGACCTCGCACGACCCGTCAGAGGCGAAACACGACCCAGAGACCTCGCATAGCTCCTGAGAGACGACCCAGAGACCTCACACATCCCCTGAGAGACGAAAGACGACCCAGAAATCTCACACAGCCCTAGAGAGATATGGCACACGACCCAGAGACCTCACACGACCCCTGAGAGACTAAAAGACGACCCAGAGACCTCGCTAGGGAGAGCTGGAAAAGTATCCGGGTGGCTGAGTCCTGGAACTGGAAGATTAAGTCCGAGAAACAATCAAGTGTGTTGTGATGGATCGAGTCAGTTCCCTCTCGACTTTATCAAATAGTTCATTAGTATAATTGTTTGTATTACAGAGAGTGAGTCGAGGTCGTCATGGCGCGTGAGGTGATGGGGTGAGAGGAATGGTGTGGAGGGAGAGGTGAGGGGTGATGGAGGGGGTGAGAGGGGTGAGGAGGGAAGGGGTGAAGAGAGGGGATAAAGAAAGAGGATAGAGAAGGTGGAGAAGGATGATGATTTACGAGACTTATACAAAAGAAGGGAAGATAAACCACGAATTAAATTATATACGAAGACACAAAACAAAATATGATAAATAGGAAGAGAAAGATGTTATAATCAGAGAGAGATAAGACTAGACATAACAGATGGCCATAAAACAGACATAATTCCTTCATATAGAATAAATTACATAATATTATATTCTACACTAACTTCATCATCAGGTATTGTCAAAATTTATTCTCCCTTCACAATAAAAATCAACAAATACATAAACTGTTTATTCGATGTATATATATATAAATTAAACTATTTATATTTACCCAAACATAATATCGAATATAGAAATTGACATACATACATCCATTCAAAACAAAAAACAAAAACACAAAAATATATAAACGTCCAAACTGTTTATACAATGCAAATAAACTCGCATATTTATTTGACTCGAGAAAATATTCACGGTGTAAGAATGAATAAAGATGGTGTGTGTATAGAATAGCAATTGTATTAAGTAACTGAGACATAGATTAAATGAGATATAATTAAGGAAACATGAAAGACTATCACATATATGACAGGGAAGATGCGGTTGGCTGCCTTTCTGAAGACTTGCTTGCCTGCTGTCTGCTTGCTTGCTGCTGTAGCCATCTTCACTACACTAAGAGGTAGCCAGGGATGTCTTCTTGATAGTTGAAGACATGACATAGTTCCTCTAGTTTTGTTCCTGACCTGACCACACCTGACCACACCTAAACTAACCTAACTAGTCTAAGCTGACCTAACCAACCAGACGATACTTACTGAGGTGAGTTAATCAATCTCAACTGGGCCAAAAGTAACAAGATGGAATGGTAGATGAATGGGCCTCGATGGATGGGAAGGGAGGTAAGGAGGAGGAGGGGGGGTGAGGAGGGGGGATTAAGGGAGGGGCTAGGTGCTAGTGGAGGGAGATGAGTGGAGGAGTAAAGGGGGGGGGTGAGTGGAGGAAGAGGTGGAAGGAGAAGAAGGGAGGAAAGGGAGGTGAAGGGGGAGGAGGTGAAGTAGAAGGGGGAGGATGAGGCGAAGGGAGATGATAGAGGAGAAGACGAAGGAAGAGGAGGGAGAAGAGATGGAGAAATGGAAGGTGAGAGAGAGCCAGGATAGAAGAGGGAGGGAGGTAGGGAGAGGAGACGGAGACAAAACTAGGAATCACAAGGAAGCTCCGAGACGACAGGTACAAGTGGAGGAGGACCTGGAGGAATGTCTTCAGTAATTGGTTAATCGAGGGAGAGATAAATGGAGGGAATAGAGATGGAAAGGGAGGAGGGACAGTGATGGATGAGAGACTGGGTGGAGGAGAAGGGGGAAGGGGGGAGGGTAAAAGGTAATGGGTAGGAGGAAAGGGAGGGGGGAGGGTAAGGGGTAGAGAGCAAGAGTGGAAAAAAGAGGTTGAAGGGTTGGGGAAGGAAGGAGGGAAGGGAAGGAGGGAAGGGAAGGAGGGAAGGGAAGGAGGGAAGGAATGTGTAGAATGAAGGCATAAATGAAGAAGGATGAATGATTAAGTGATGTTTAAGGTTAATCTTTTTCGTCCATTCATCATCATCATCATCATCGTAATTATTAATATTAGTGTTAAAATTAATGTGAATAATATAGGTTTATTATTATTATCTTTATCCATCAACCTCCTTTTCCCCCTCACCTACACCTCCCCTCCCCCCCCCCCTCCCCTCCCCCACTCCACACCTCCCCTTCCCCACCACACCTCCCTCCCCCCTCACTCACACCCTCCCCACTCACCTCAGCCTATCAAGACCCTACACACGTCCAAGCTGCTTCCTGTCTTGGGGAAAACTCTCTCCCTTTCTCCATCTTCACTTTTTCTTCTATTGGTTTTTTTACTTCTCGTTCTCTCTTTCTCTCTTTCTCCTTCTCTCTCTCTCTAATAATAAATTAACTCTCCCAAACCAACCAATCATAGAGTCCCATTCACCTCAGATACTCATTTGTAAACACACATTTGTAAACAAGGAATAATAGTCATTTCAAACCTCATAAAGTAAACAAGAATGACCTATATCCTCCTCAAAACAAAACATAAACAAACAAACAAGAAAACAAAACAAAAACAACCTAAAGGAACATGAGTTTGTGTATTTAATCTTGACAAAATAGTAAATAAGGAAATACAAAGTGGGTTATGTCATGACCCTAGGCCTAATGATTAAGGATATGGGGCTTATTAACGATGGGGGTCTATTAGGGATGGGGTCTATTAGGGATGGGGTCTATTAGGGATGGGGTCTATTAGGGATGGGGTCTATTAGGGATGGGGTCTATTTGGGATGGGGTCTATTAGGGATGGGGCCCATTAGGATGGGGTATTAGGGATGGGGTCTATTAGGGATGGGGTCTCATTAGGGATGGGGGTCTATTAGGATGGGGTCTATTAGGATGGGGGTCATTAGGGATGGGTCTATTAGGATGGGGTCTATTAGGGATGGGGGTCTATTAGGATGGGGGCATATTTTGGTAGAGCCTATTAGCGATGGAGCCAATTAGGAATGGGCTCTATTAGAGATGAAGTCTATTAGGAAAGAAGCCTATTAGATACTCAGATCCAGTTAGCATACAAGCTCTCTCTCTCTCTTCAATGAATTAAGTCTCCTCAATCATCAACAAGATTATTATTTTTTTACAATTATTAAAAAAAATAAAAAATAAAAATAACTCTTAGTAAAGGTCATCAAGACCCGAGGTGCACTAGACGCCTTCATTTAGGGTGTTATTAGAGCGGGTCTAATTGGATCCATAATCCTTATCAAGTTATGCGACAATCTAATTGCCTCCCTGTACTAGAAAGTGAAGGGGGGAAGGAGGAGAAGGAGGGGGAGAGATGGAGGAGGGGGGGAGATGGAGGAGGGGGGGAGGAGGGGGCGAGATGGAGGAAGGGGACGACGACTGCGGTTTCTGATTCAATTATGCAGGTGATCGCTCTAATGGTGGTAGGTAGTGGTGAGGGGGTACTGGTGATGGTGGTAGGGATGGTGGTAGATGGTGGTCGTGGTAAGTCGTGGTGGTAGGTGTGATGTTGGTAGTGGTGAGAGCAACAGAACCCGGGATCTCAGGTTCGTGACGTTATTAAAGTCCGCTACTCCTATTGGCTTATGTAACTTATGACGTCATAATAATTACACAAACAAAACCAACCTTTATAATCATCTTTTCTTCCTTTAAAAGTTTATTTTTTTCTTACCTGTTCATTAAAGAAAATACACAAATCGTACTAAAGGGATAAAACAACAAAATATCAAAACAATAAACAAAGAAATACACACAGGTGATCTTTATTACCTAGATCACCGAGAGCTGTCCATCGTGCAGGTGTCATTATCACCTGTCCGTAGCGAGGAAGGACGCTGTTCCTATATAAATCCTACGCTGTTTAGGTCAGTAAATATAACTACCTAAATAAACCTAACCTGAGCTAACATAACCTAAACCTAACCAACGTAAACTAATTTCGTGAGGGAGGTCGTGGAGAGTGTTTGGTCGGACACACTGAAGACTCCCTCAGTGACGTGTCCGGCCTCCTCCGTCACCTCTGGGGGCGCAGCGGTCAGGAGCCCTCCCTCCTACGGTAGCGGTGACGGTATGTGTAGGCCGACCACACCTGGAGTCCTCTGCCGCCACCTTCCCTCCACCTCACACACCTGGGGTCCTCCACCTCACACACCTGGGGTCCTCCACCACACACACCTGGGGTCCTCCACCACACACACACACACCTCAAATATCAGGTACAGGAATAATTTATAATCAACAGTCAGGGGTCAACAAGTCAGAGATTCTGTAATACACAACAATTCTCTTGATTACATTTTGATATATTAAAATTTTCACAATATGTGTAGAGTATTACAAATATATATGATCATAAAAACCTTATATTGTAGTGCAGGAGAATGTGTTATTTAAGTAATGGTGAGTGAGTAATGTGAGCGGTATGTGGAGTGGAGTGAGTAAGATGGAGCAGGTAGTGAGGGAGGACCCATGGAGGCACAGACCCAGCGGCAGCGACGCCACACACCCGCCTCCGATGGTATCCAAACCGCCTCTGGCCTCACCACCACACACACACACACACGCACCCACCGCCACCATCACTAGCGTGGCGGACCTGCACACACACGCACACACGTACACACAAACACCCTCCCTCCCTCCCCCCTCCTCGCCCCTTGCCCTCCACCGTCCAGTGTACCTGCGCTCGCTCACCTGTAGCGAGAGCAGACAGTCGTGCGGCAGACGCCTTACCGTTCACACCGCCCCTCCGTCCCTCACTCCCAGTGCACCGCGGCTGCCGCTCTCTGGAACGCCGCCTGGACGTTACTCCCCAAGTGGTAGTGATCGCTCTCCGGCGCTGGAAGCTGGAAGAGCTCTTCATACCCCCGAGTTGTGCTTTGGATTATACTACTTACTCTCAAGAATATTGTTGTGGTTTATTGACGAAGAATCTTGTATGTGGTGATGCCAGTGGAGTGAGTTGTTTATACGTGGATTCTTAGAGAATTATGGTGAAGGAAACAGTAGTGCCTCGTGCCAACCAGATCAACCTAACAATTCTCAGCCTTTGAATAGTGTGACCGCCCTCCTCCAAAACCCTTAATAACCTGTGACACCTGACCTGTATGTTATCCTCTGGTCAAGTTGTGGTCATCGTGTAAGTGACCCAAATTTGACCCTGGCTGACCTGTCAAGTAGGAGAGTGTGGGGTCAGGAAGGCTGGATGAGAGCCATGACGGATCTCGACACTCCCGGTGCTGTCGTCTGGCCCAAGTGGTGTTATTCCAGTAAGTCGCCTTGGTACCATTCCCGTAAGTCAAATTTTTTCTCACTTGACTAACTTAAACGTAATGAAACTTTCCACTAATGCTCAACAATGGTAGTCCCCTTCCACTCGTAGTCGCTAAACGAACCCTTACTTAAATGCTAAGAACAAAAAAGTAGAAAAATATAATTCATCTCCCATAAACTTTGACATAAATCCCCCCCCAAATATAGTGAATACGTATGATAAATGGTCTCTGTGGATGATGACTGAATTAGATACATTTCAAGTGAGGATAATGTAGGTTGTTGTGGCTGATGTGTTCGACTCCACACAGGTGATCTCTTGACCCTCACCTCACCTCTCTATCAGATCACACTATACACCCCACAACAATTATCACAAAAGACTTTCTCAATACATAAATTAGAAATAATATCAAAACAACTTATAAATCGAAGGAAATATTACACTCCAGAGGAACTCAATTTTTTGTGGACTTAGGATTCTGTTTTAATGTTGACCTAAAAACATGACACTTATGGATGATGTTCACTCTTAACCTCGGCCCATAGAAGTTGTAATCAAACCTCCTGTAGATACACGATTCCCCCAGCCGTAAAATCCTCCCTTTAACAATGGTTTATAACGAAGGTGATGGTCGGTGTAACTTGATTGAATGGCGAGAGATGTGTCAACCCCACCATCAGAAACTCTGTACATGGGTGAGGGGCGTACACCTGAGGTCACTTATTGGTAGAGATGAAGTTACAGTCTTGACTCTGAGTGATGTAGTGGCCAGTTCACGTTACTATAGATACACCATTACAGCCACTTGAGCTCTGGGTATAGTGAGTCTTTCAGTCAACCAACACTTGGACGTGGATCGGTTTTACACCTCATGAATCCAGTGGTTTAGAAAATACTAACCTGGTCTACCTGTAGCTAAATATATACTTAAGACTCTTACTTCTACTTAAAGGTATATTTACAAGTTCTAAGTCTAGCCCCCGTACTTAACAACTTAGTCTATCCAATGATATTATATTTACATCATCGAAATTCTAATTACTTAACAAGCGATCTTGAACTCAATAGTGTTAAGTGCACTTCAATGATCCACTTGTAACTTGAGAAAAAAAAATCCACTCACGACCTGAAGTCCATGATGTGGTTTAACATTTTAATGGACAATTTATATCTTAAGGTTAAGTCCCTCAGCTTAGAGTCAAGTGTCTAAAGATATGAAACCTGAGCAAGATGTATAGGACAGAAAGATCACATAAAGTATTGTGAGTTAGAATTCTAGTCTTGTTTACCACCACTATACATCAACTATCGTAAACATCATGTATACCACCTCTCGTGTTTATGTATATATATGTATACTTCTTTCTTAGCTTGAAGTCGTATGAATTAGACTTTCAAATTAGGGAAATAATTAGGGTCAATTATTTAATAAATCAACAATTACCAGCGGCACACACACGAGCCTCCGAGGTAGCGTAAAAACGTGACTCACCTGGAGACGAAAGCCGAGGGCCCCAGTCTTTAACGCCATGTTCCTTATTTATCAAGTCGTAAATAAACTTACATTCATCCCGGCCGTGTCATAAATTAAAGGCTTTTGCTTGAAGACGAAAATAACGTTGTAGAAGCAGAAAGAGGAGGAGGTGGTAGTGAATAGGTATTTCATTAGTCTCTTGTCATTTCTACACCTTGATACCTGGTGATACCTGATGGGTGAAGACCTCGTATGTGTGTGTTACCTGTATCTACCTGGATAATGAGCCGGGAGATTTTCAACCCTCATAATTACCTTTCTTACTAAGGCGAAAATATATTGGTTTTATTGTAAAGTATAAGACTGCGGAGTTATTAAGCAGCAGACAAGACCCGCTGGAGTCTTACCTGAAGGTCTGAGTTACTTGATGTTCTCGTGAGTGTCGGGGTGAAGGAGTGTTGAGTGAGGAAAACAAATGAAAAACTGTTAAAAGAGCTTAGGTCGTGGTTCATATTATATACTACATGTTTGTTTGTCTTTTTAGATTATTTAGAACAAATAATATTGAATTCTGTGTAAAACGTGGCTCTAGGAACACCAAAATCAATTAATACATTAATTTTTATGTTTAAAACTCATAAAACAAGACGTATTTACCATAACATTTGTCTATGCATTATAAACGATATGAGATCCCTCTTTACCTATACATTACAAACAAAAGAACATCAACTCGATTCTACTAAGGAAGATTAGACCCTATACAGTGGTGGTAATAGCAGTAAGGTAGAGGCGGTAGTGAGCCTAAGATTACCCCATGGATTTATGGTGGTTCCTCCTCCACCCTGTACTTTCCGTAGGGGCGTGGGTCCATAGGCAGAGGACTGAGTGATCACCACCAATACTATGACGGAAGGATATTGATGGCCGGTTTTAGCCCTCCGGTAGGAACTTAGAGATGCTAATGAGGGAGTGATTAAGATTCTGAGGAATCTCTTTATTGAAATACCTTTATGCCTGTGTGTTGGAGTGAGTGTGTTTATACCGCATTACGTCTTTTGAGTGTTAGATCACTTGAGGAGAGAAGTACTTTATTTTTGGGTAGAAATGAGAGAGTTATACACGGTCTTGAAGAATATAATGATGATATAACTAAGAAACTATATCGTACCCCAGAAAAATCATTGTATATATATATATATAACTGTACTTTATTTACAAGTAACTTTAAATGAATTAGACATTTCCCGTGTCTTTAAAGTCAACCAAGTACAATAAACAGATAAAAACTACATTCAACCCTAACCAGATCTCTCTTGAGTGTAGATAAATATTCAAGCCCACAAAACTGCCATTACACAAACTATTATGTATAATTAGTCAATAACCTAACCTAATCTAACCCAAAATGGACATCATTGCCCCAAGACACCGGGTGAGACGAAGGAATGCCCCCAAGTGTTACCACAGGACGAGACGTACACACAAACCAAAACACTGTGTTGTAATGTTCTTGATGTTAATAAAAGAATATACGCCCGCGACCCCACAGCTGTCTCCTCCAGTGATCCCAGAGAGAGACGGTAGATTATATATATTTGGTTAGTGGTGTGGGTGTTGTGTGGATGTAGGGGGGTTTGTGGGTACTAAGCTTGTGGGGACGTTGTGTGGGTACTAAGCTTGTGGGGACGTTGTGTGGGTACTGAGCTTGTGGGTGCGTTGTGTGCGTGTGTGTGTGTGTGTGTATGATTTCAGAATACACTAAAGTTGAGAAGCCCAAGCCCAGTTGAGTCCCTACACTCTCTATCGTTCTCTACTGATCACTGTTGTTATAAGAGACATCCTGAGTCGTAGAATAAACTCAAAAGTAAAGTAGTTTATTTCTTACCTAAATTCGTAATGTTGTGAATTGAGAAATGCGAGATGGTACGGGACTCTACCTTAGATTTCTCAAGTACAAGAAGGCTACATCTTAAGTGGTGAAAGTGTACTGATCTATCCACTTTATGATCCACTTTACTTACAAATAGATAAATCGCGTCTACTTCTATACTTACAATCTCAATGACGTATATCATCACTAATACCAATCACTGATGACGTGACCCCTACTAATCCTTCTCTCCAATCAATCAATTTATCTCATTTTAACTTTACAAAGGCAGTGAAGGTATGAGCTCGGGTCATCTAAACGATCATATGTAACTACAGGATCATCAGACAAATCACCCGCTAAGTGGATTGGTATCTACAGTAGCATTAAAATCACCAAGTCTCCTGATTGGTATCTATAGCTGCATTCAAATCACTAATCTTATCTTATCTCTCCGGACCCCATAAGGATTAGGAACATCAAGGGGGATTGATTCGAAACATGTAACCTTACTACCTAATCCTTCAACCCTGATTGAACCTCCATTTCAACTCTCGTCTCGGTATAGTTTACATTAAATCCTTTCAAAGCATCGCTGTGTTATTTCACACCTCAGTGACTAGACAGCTCTTGACGGTTCCAATTCCACCAACAACTAATACGTCTTTTCAACCTGTTGGCTTAGGAGGTTACCTGTAAGGCTGTCTCTCGGATTTTATATAATGTCTGAGTATATGTCTTTACCGTATATAACATATGAACGGGTTAAGACAGGAAGGAATTGGGTTGTTAAGTTTGCCAGGTGTGGTAGTATCTAATTACCTGAGCCATTTATGTTGGTATTAGTGATGTAGAATTATTATGAATACTCCTATAGGTAGATATACCGTATATACCTAATTATATCTACTATACCTGTATAACTACGTATATTCGCTATTACAGACGTGGTTAGTCTCCTGTTAGATGAATAAATTCACGTCGTTACTTACATCTAAAAGGTTATTAGTCTATCCTAACTACGCGAAAACACCGAATATAACTACGTTTGTGTACTATTTCATGCACGTAGTTTGCATCCTGTTGAGTGAGTACGAAGATTCAACACCTGGGTACTATTTCTTAAGCCCCTGAGTACGATGTCTAAAATCCTTGAGTACGATGTCTAAAATCCTTGAGTACGATGTCTTAAATCCTTGAGTACGATGTCTTAAATCCTTGAGTACGATGTCTTATGCCATTGAATACTATGTCTTAATCCTTTGAGTACGATTTCTTAAGCCATTGAATACTGTCTTAATCCTTTGAGTACGAAGAATCAACCTCTAGAATATAATAACTTAATCCTTTGAGTACGATGATCAATTTCTCTTAACCCCGATTTAATGTTACTCTAGAGGTTACGTTATCGTTTTGAAGCTGTTAATTTTTAGTGTTCATGTTAATATAAATGTTAAAATTAATTCAATCTTGTAAGAAAAAGCCGTAAATTTCTGGTTTTGATAATAAACCGTAAAACACATTTCAGTATATGGTGTAAAAATACGGGTAACTTTTAGTGTAAATGGCCTAAAATATATTCTGTAAATTATGTAAATGTCTGGTACATATAATAAAAGATTTTTGTGTGTAAATGTAGTCATATATATTTATACGGTGTAACTGAGAC